TGTATTCTAGCCTATACAATAATTATGGCTAATAAGTAATATTATGTTGATTAATTTTCTACAATACTAATGAGTACCTTAACCTTCATTAACAGTCTTAGTATATATAATAATAAGATATATAATCACCTCGATGTCCGCCGTTCCACAACTGAATCTTTTTCGAGGCAGTTTTTGCCGCGCACCACCACTTAGTGGAACCAGCAGCCCACTGAAATATTTCCGAACCAATTCGACTTAGGGTCCTTCAAGAAAAGAGCATACCCTCCTACCCGTTTTCCCCCTGTTCTTTAAAAAAATAATAAAATAAAAGATAAAGATAGGTGGTATTTAAAAAAATCATCATGCTCAAACTTGCGACTGTAACTGAAATGCATTTTAAAACACTGGCCTTGTATCGACGGAATAAAAATACAGCATTATTTGAGTAAAACTATTTATAAACGAACGGCATCAATTTGTTTTATTAAAACCCACATGTTGCCAGGTACATCGATTTTGCTTGACAGTATTTTATCGTTATAATAAAGCACAGAATCTCTGGGAATAAACACAAGTTTCTCTCAAGTGGGAGATGAGAAATTAAACCGATTACTTTGATATATCGCCCTTAAACTTACCGATAAGTCACTGTGTGATCGCCTCCAAATGGCAGCCGTGCAAAGTTATCTATCGTCTCAAGGGTGTTTGATAACGACTAGTATTATTTTACGCATCAATTCTATTATCAGATTATTAATTATTCAATAATAAAAATCTACGTCATTATTATTTCTCCTAGCATGTGACTTAAAATTATAATTATTTTAAGGTACACAGAAAGTGGAAGACTTACTTGTCTATTTAAAATAAGAAATTCTTACAATTAATTCATTTTTAACAATTTTCTCTGCAATTTCATGACCTCTGATATGACATTAAGTTGCAAAATCTTGTATAAACAGTGGCTAATCCCGCGCTTAAGGTTTCCACGGAATTATGCATAGCCCTCGGGCTTAGGGGTTGTCATCTCATACCATTTGGCGGACGAATTTGTTGGTCATTACGAGGTTGTGTTTAGTATGATAAGAATTTGATTAGACCTTTTAGCATCGTCACTTAATTTATAAGTATCACTCAAGTCGAGTCATAAGTATTAAAAAAATATATAAATGTATGTATCTAATTCACGTAACCATATGTATAACTGTAATTGAAGAGCATTTACAAGATAATTAAAAAAAATGGGTAACCCTAATATTATATTTCATCATAAAATGAAAAGAACATATTTAATTATTTACATTCTCATTCCATTGGGAGAAAAGTGAGATTTTTATTAAACATTAATTGAGCTACAAATAACTTGTTACATAATATAGATCAGAAGTTCACCTGATGCTATGTGATACCGCCGCCCATGGACACTCACATTGCCAGAAGGTTCGCAAGTACGTTGCCGGCCTTTTAAGAATTGGTACGCCTATAGTTAATTCAAATATCTTAAAGGCAATATAAGGCCAAGTATTATATATTATTGTTCCTGTATTTGTTCCCTTATCCCAACAATAATTTTGTTAAGGTATGGATAGTAAAAAAGATGATATTGAGTGAAAATCATGAAATTTTCCGAGTGACGTAAAGTAATCAATACGGAGGAACGACGTGGGCCGTGATAACGTAATTACAGTGCTAGCCGCGCCCGTACACTCTACACCTTAGGAAATATATTATTACTGGCTGATGCAACTAAACCTAAATTAAAATAAAAAAAGTAGTATGCGTTCTGTCTCGCTCTAACGCGTATGCGTATTGGCCGGTAGAGTGGTAGATTGAATTAATATCAAAGAAAAAAAAATACTGCATAAATAAAAAATAAATAAATAAATGTAATTGCATAAGTTGATAAAAAAATGCTATGCAATAGCTTTACCGCGGCAGTCCCCGAGTACCACACGTTTTTTTGTATTAGTTTTAAATTCAAAAAATATGAACTATACCTAAGTTATAAAATGTACTATTATAATATGAAACTGCTATAGAAATGAATGATTAGAAAATTTTCGATTAGAATAACTTTAAAACTTACAAAGTCGACAGCAAGAAAACTTACATCCATAATTAGGAATTCGTTAGACAGAGTGCCGATACATTATAAATTATAGAATTTCTTAACAAACGTATCTTGAGCGTCAACTTATCTCTAAAGATTATATAACACGCATGGATGAATAAGAACTCAATTCGTAGAAGTTCAGACTGCCGTACCTCTAACACAGTAATCATATAAATAGGGCACAAGAGCCGTACGAGATACAACCATAGTTATATAGCCACGGCTAAAGCCGGCTATTATGAGATTAGAGGTTTAGGATTCTAAATAAGCTTGCATATTGCATAATTCAAAAGCTAACATTTTATTTCAATCCCCGAGCTTCATTCAATTCCGTAACTTCTATCTGTAGTTTGGGGCTATTTTTGCCCTGACTCGATTTGTCTGCAAACCACGACGGTCTAGTCACAAATTGATCGTTTTATTTGGATAAGGTAAATGCAATTTCAACTATGCTTCAATAACTATGAATTAAAGTAGGTTATTGGGTAAGCATTTGCGTAGATTATAGATTTAAGTGAAATGCGCAAGACTTGTAGTTGACACTTGACCTAGCCTTATTGAGAAACGTTAATATTTTACAAAATACAAATCAGATGTTTATACTGATTAGTAAAACTCGTTTAACATTTCGTGTCTTATATTCGGGTTGGATTTTAAAATAAAACTATTATAAATTCTTAATAAATGTTTAACATTTATTTTTTTACGATTTTTATATTTACGGTATTAAAAAGTATTAGTAGTTAGCAGGCAGTATTTTAAGTGTAATTAATTAATTTGCGATTTTTGTTCTAAAATAAGTGTTGTTTGATGATTTGCTAATTTAAAAGCGTACCAAGAGATTTTACGCCGGCTTTTTCTCTCGTCCTACACCCTCTCTCTTCTTTGCCAATGAGTAGGGATGTCTACTGATTCAAATTTAATGACGTGGAATCAGTGATACCTGTATCTTATATTCCATACTAAACATATTCTATTATTTTTATTTTTACGTTATTTAAAATAAATAAATGTAGAATTGAAATTTATTCTGAATCCTTAATATTGTATCAGTACATGCTATATACGTATAATTTGTATTTACAATGTTCTTAACCTACAAAGTAATACTAAAAATTATTTAAAAGAAAATTAAAACTAATTTAAAAAGTTTGGTCCCTGTGGCAGCCTTAAACGCTGGCAGCATTTCCTCGCTGTATTGCGATACTTATAAAATAGTACTTATAAATTGAGCCAGGGAAGCACCAGCTCTGGGGTCACCAGTACTATCTATCTACCAGGCGCCAACTTAAATCTTTAATAAGCGCCTGTGCACTTGAACCCCACGGTCCAAGAGTCTCTACTCCATAGGGAACAAAAGTTGAAGTTGAAGAAAAGACTTATAATTGAAATTATAATTCTGATTAAATTATTATCGTATTTATATTATTAATAATTACTACATAATTTATATCTATTATGACGTTAAAAAAGACAATGATCAATATGAGATCGTTTACGTTTTTAAACCTTCAAATAATGTTGTAAATTTCAATTAATTGCACCTCGACTTTTTAATTCTAGCTCGGAACAAGATTAATCGTAAACATGTTACACTATACGCCATTTAACTGCACATTTCCTGACTGCGCGATATAATCTTCAACCCTTTCGCGGCTAGACTAACTGTTAATTGTTGATCATATCTTACAAACAAGCTTTTGTATTTAAAAACTTACGTTAGTTTTTTAAAATGTATGCATAGCTGTTTTAAGGTAAATGTGTGTTTTATAAATGATGTGTATACAATTATATTAGTGGTAGATTTTTTTATTAAGTATCTTTAGTCTGTTAAATTCTTTTTAAAAATTGCTATGTAGAACTCATATCTCAGAGACCTTCAAATATTAGTATTATGTATTTTCAATTCTTCATGCAATTTTTGAAGTTATAAATCTTTAAGCGCGTTATGAAAAATTGATGAGAGTGAAATTTTACGATGCGCGCGCACCGTAACACAAAATTAACAGAATGAAGTTGCCCACGGAATTGCTACGGCATTGGACATAATTTAAAAACAACATTCGAATAATAATAGAATTTATGTTACACTTAATGTAAGAGAATAATAATAAAGATTTATTTATTTAATTTTTCAAATGTAAACTGAACTTCATTGACTATAATGACTCCTTCTCCAGGCTTTGATTATTTAATTGTAATTAATTATTTGCATGCAATCAAAAACTATGTTTAATAAATTGCCAAATAAGTAATAACTTCTAAATTTATCCGACGTTTCGCGTGGTGCGGTTTAATAGACTATTAAAGTATTTTTTTTTTGGGCGCGTACATAAGTACCACGCACCCTTTTTTTAAATTTAGGTGGCAGTTAGTGTTGCTATTCATACTTTATAATAAAGTATTGTACGTTACTTCAGGTAAGTGTACTACTTACTGATACTAATACTTTATGATAACAATAAAGTAGTTAGTCGTAAATATTTTTTCGTTAAACGGAATTTATCGATTGGCGCTGAATCGATGTTGCCACTCGCTACTACTCGCCAGCGCCACATGGCCACGTCACTTTAGTGTTCGTTAGTGAATAAAAAAAATATTTTTTTATCCACTTACTTACTACTAATATTTTTCTTGTGTACGTATTATAAGCAATGTACTTTAATTGCAAAAAAATGTGGCTACTCGGTTTGTTAACAGGTTATAGTTAACCAAAAATATAGCAAGAATATGTTATAAGCCCTATAATTCAAAAGTTTACACTAGATTAGTTAAAAACCCGTTCAAAATTCAAATTATAATTTAATAACAAAACGCCACTCCTTTTATTAACCATGGTTTTTTAACTATTTTTAAGTTGCTGCAACCATGAAACCTTAACAAAATTTAATTTTAATTAGGAAGAATGAACAAATCGATCCAGTATATAATAAGACATAAAAGACCTGTCCTCATTCAGTCACTTGTTTCAGGCCGGCCATCTCCAACAGTCATCTGGCTTATAGACAGTGTACCCGCACCCCAATACATCGGCGAGAAATCAGATTCGCACGTCGTTGTTAACAAACTCGAGTTACCTCACATCAAGAGATCCCACTTGAATACCACCTTCAAGTGTCGAGCCTCGAATACAAACCTTGTCAGCCCTCAAGAGAAGACGGTGCGCTTAGAAATGAATTGTGAGTATGACGTAATTACGTATTGAGGTATTCGCGACTCATCTGACACAAAGGTACGAAGTGTAATGCATGTAGTTTTGGTTTAAAGTTCTCTAGGTGGTAGATGGCTATATTTATATATATAATAATATATATTGAGTAAAACTTAATGGATAAAATATGAAAGCTTGCACTGTTCTAGTGGAGCTACGGGGTAGCGTAGCACTAACGTAGCATTTTTGTAGCTACGTAGGCTACGATAGCTATACAAGATATGCGCCTGTTACAACTAAATTGGTACTCTTCTAATTGGTCCAGTATTATTTTTGAAGTTGAAATTGTATGAAACGATGGAAAATATATAGTTATATACACAATTGAAACATATATATGTTTGGTTGTAATCTGGGCATTCTTATGGTACAGATTTAATATATTATTCTAAAAACTAGTATAATAATATGTACTATAGCTTTATTTTATTCCATAAATACAAATATATAGAGACAATATTAACAGTAAGTAATAAATTAAATAGAAATTCCTCAAAGGGATTTCATATATTTTATTTTTTGCTATGTCTCGTAGTATATTCATTCAATATGTTAAATCACAGTTTGACAGTAAGTCATATTTTAAGATTAAAAAATCAATTAGAAGTAAGCTGATGAATTTCCTTCGGTATAAGTGTTACTCGAATTACTACATAAATATAACTTTAACATAACGTAATGCGTATATCAAATTATTAAGTTGTTGTTCCCATTTCAGCTTTCCAATCCTTGAAGATATGAGCTGTACATTTGTTACAGTGAGGCCGACGTTAGTGCAGATAGCGAAGAAGCCGGCGACGTTATCAGCGGAGCGGCACGTCAGCTTATCATGTGTGGCGGAGGGAAGCCGCCCGCCCGCCCAGCTCACTTGGTTCAAGGACAATAGGAAATTCACCAGGGGGAAGGTATGTTTAGCCCGTCTCTTGTTTTTAACTCGTATCAATTAAAGAATATAAATTTTGTATTCTCCTTATATTGTGTCTTAATATACACCCCTAAAGTTATTTAAAACATCAGGCAATTTTATTGCTTCATGCATTTTTACAAATAAAGATGTAAAAGTCATTTAACTAATTTTATAGGCAATAAGATGATCAGGTTATGTATTTGACACTGTCATCGATACACCAGATCCAAAGTCTAAGATACACCGGGTTCCTGTTACAATGTTTGGCTTCACCGTTAGTTGAAGCTAATTAGCGTTAAATGCGTACATCAGAACTAGCAATCGCACGCTTAAGCCACTAAGGGCCGATTCGACCAAACAAGAGTAAATCTTAATCTTAGAATAAATCGTCAGTTAATCGAGAGTAAATCAATTTTACGTTTTACCAACTACAAATTCTAAGAATAGTGGGCTTATTCGGGAATAGCTACTATACCGCCGTTTCGCACGGAATAACAGCTATTCCTAGAATAATTTAATGGCGTCAGTCAGTCCAATCAGCTGATTTCTGTCATTTCACAAATATGTATTCTGTGTTTTAATTTCAAGTCAACGCAACGCACTAAATTAATAGTCTGGCATTGTATAATGAAACGTTTAAACAATTTATTATTTATTTATTTATTTTTAGATTTTTTATTTTCTATAATATTAGAATGAAATTCAACTAGGCTCAACAGAAGTTCCTTTTTAGACGAAAGCCTCAAACAAACAAGAAATAAAAACTTTTTGTTGTCGTTTGACACCTGTTAAAAGCTACTTTTTCACTCTATAATACGGCAAAATCGAGTTTACATGGTGTATGCTCTTACACTGTCCCGTTGTAGAACAACATTTATTTGCCGAGTTTTATTTTCGTTCACCATTCTCTTGCTATTCGCGTATTGTTATTCCTAGCGCAATTATACTATCGATTTCGTGGACAAAAGACTATGGATTTACTCGAGATTAAAATCATGGAATAGATTATTCTTGGTATAGTTACTCGTGTATAAATTGAAGTTTGGTCGAATCGACCCTAAATACACTAAAACAGTTGAACTAACCTTAAGAAAAGAAAAAACATAAGAAACGTTGTGTACAGGCTTTTATTTTACCGCAGGCCATAAATATATAAGATTCTTACCATTATTCTCTGTCACCACCCACCCGCAACATGAATGATTATTTCTGTGACATATGATTTTATTCCTCGTACTCATCGAAGCTTACATCAGTAATGAATACGTGTATAAAACATTCATTGTACTCGTCCATTGTCGGGATTCCAATTAATTACTATGCAAAAGGTTATACATTAAAAGGCGTTCCATATCCACGTACTTATACATTCTTTTTAATAAGGATTTATTGTTTAACGTTTTTGCTTTTATTGCGACAAATTAAACAAACTTAATCAATTTTGACCTATAAATAAATCAGTGGCGCTACAACCTCTTTAGGTCTAGGCCTCAGATTTCTGATCTGTTTCATGATCATTTTTCAATCTAATAGGCAAGTAGGTGATCAGCCTCTAGTGCCTGACACACGCTGTTGACTTTTTGGGTCTAAGACATGTCGGTTTCCTCACGATGTTTTCCTTCAGCGTTCCAGCAAATGTTAAATGCGCACATAGAAAGGAAGTCCATTGGTACTCAGCCGGGGGACGAACTTACGACCTAAGGGATGAGAGTCGCACGCTGAAGCCACTAGGCCAACACTGCTAAATTTTGACCTATACAAACTAAAATATTTTAGTAGCTTACGCAGTGTTACTACGACTGCCATCCCTTAGGCTCCCATTTGAACTACGGCTGTGCACCAAAGGACTCTCTATCTATGTGCACATTTCTAAATTCACTCTTACAGTAAAGAAAACATCACGAGGAAACCGGCATGCCTTAGATCAAAAATGTCGACTGCGTATGTCTAGCACAAAAGGCGGACCTACTTTTCTATTAGAAAAATATAATATTGTTATAGTACCTAGGTAACATTTTATCGCGTTAGGTTCATTTTCACGTGTAACAAGAGTTTTAGATTTGCCGTCAATTCACAAAAACAAATGACAAATGAATTTAATGTCCTACATTAGGTTATCAAAGAGTTCTAAAATTGAAATTCAAAAAAAGTTTTCATTAGCAATGTTTCTAACTGGCCAGCTCTAAACATTTTCAGTGTTACCCACATAATATTACACAAAGTATAACGAGTATTCTCATCTCTATCATGTATTTTTAGTGGTATTTTCTATATTTTTTTTAACAAAATCGCTATCCTATACAACGTTTCTTTGTCTCCAACTACTTATATAAATTTTAATATTAGAAATAATCTTAAATGACTATTTCGGTACAGGTAACTGAGGCTGTAAATGATACATGGGTAAGCAGTACCATTCAGTTCACACCTCTTCCCGAAGATGATGGTGTTCAGGTCAAGTGTCAGGCGGACAACAGCGCCTTACCAGGACAGAGTATAGAAGATGCCTTCAAACTAGATGTTGTGTGTGAGTATAATTATGTACTTTAATAAATAAATTATTATTTAAACATATCTAAATTTGATTCAACATATAAGAATTAAATAATTTAATATATTATTTTTGCCACAAATTTCATAATATTTTAATTTAAAACACTACACAATGATTGTCCACTCAATTCAATAAACAGACTTTTCACAAAATATTGAAAAACACCTTTATTGAAAAGCATTACATTTTCGCTATTCAAAATAACGCAAATTTAATTTCACATTCATTAATAAAGTGGATATATAACATTAATCCGAAAGCAAATACAATTCACAATCCACATCTTAATTCACAAAGACATTTCCTAAACGAATATTGCTACAAAATAAGCAATAACGAAGCTCAACTCAACCAGTTTTCACATTTCTGACATCGTTAAGCTTAATTATCATTGCTACTTAGAGCACCTTGCGAACGGCCTCACACCGCTGAGCATACAAGCTCCGTTTTGTTTCAGTTAATTTAATGCTGAGGAAATTATCTTACAAGATTATGTACACATGTATATTTAATTAGAGGAGAGTTGGCCTAGTGGCTTCAGCGTGCGACTCTCATTCCTGAGGTCGTAGGCTTGATCCCCAGCTATGCACCATTGGACTTTCTTTCTATGTGCGCATTTAACATTCGCTCGAACGGTGAAGGAAAACATGCTGAAGAAACCGGCTTAGCTTAGACCCAAAAAGTCAACGGCGTGCGTCAGACACAGGAGGCTGATCAGCTACTTGCCTAATAGATTAACAAATGATCATGAAACAGATACAGAAATCTGAAGCCCAGACCTAAAAAGGTTGTAGCGCCACTGATTATATTATTATTATATTTAATTAACTGTCACTTGTTGTGAAAAAAGTATGAAATTACAGTGTTAGGCTAGCTATTAGCCTAACACAGTCAAACCCAACTTATAACCCTGGGACTGTTTATAACCTAGCTATGCACTAGGAGCATTCGTATATGAAGACTTCTAGTAAGTACTTATCTAAGTAAATACTTATTTACTCCATTGACGATCCATGTACCGATTGCGCGCAATCAACTGCCAGACAAGCATATATGAAACAAAAAATATAACCTATAAGTTTATTTCTATACTTATAAGTTGATAAGAGTGTTAATTTATTTGATATAATGTCGAAAGAAAAGTAAATTTACTGCTATATTTAGCGCAGTTGATAGGACTCCAAATATCCTTGGACACAAATGTTAGTAACAAGGATCATTCATGTAATGTACATTAGGTGTTTCTCAAAAAAACATGAAAGACTGTGAATACAACAGATTTAGAACTAAATTAAAAAAGTATTTTACATAACTGCACTCAAGTCGATGAAGCCGCAAAATTAATGATTGCTCTTTTAATGCTTTCTATTAGGTCGTTTTCGATTTGCCAGTCTGCGTCTTCATGCAATTGGAACTTTGAGTTCAACTTTTCTTACATTTAGTTTTCTAACGCAATGAAAATTTTAAACCAACTTCAAAGTAAAATCACTCTTTAAAGTTTATTAAATAAATCCAAATAATATTGCTATTTAAGAATGCATCTAGTGTAACAGTAGCCCAATGGTACTAAAGCTTATCTCCAACCTTCTATCTCTATAATGAATATAGAGGTCAGTGTGTTCGAATCATGGCTGTGCAAAAATGGATTTCAATTGAGCACATTTAAAACTTGCTCCTACGAAGAAAACCTGGCGAAACCAGCGAACATAAGACCAAAAAATCGATGTCATGTATCAGCTACAAATAATCTTGCTTCAAAACTTAAAGGTTGTAGCGCCACTGCTTGTTTGTACGTCTATAAGGATGATAAAAGAATTTCAAAGACAATAAAAAAAAGACAAAAGAGATAAATTAAGCAGACCTTACTGTGTATTTGTTACAATTATAATATTTTCCATCGCCAACAATTATAATCATCCACTTCACATCATTAATATTATTATTACAGTCCATTGTACGAATTACAAATATAAACAAAATAATCCTGACGGAACATAAACTATATATACGGCCTAAGAGTAAATGGCTCCAAAAGTAATTAAACAATGAACCCGTTCACGCATCGCACCCAAACACATATTGTAAACATTTTCAAAGAGACGCTTGCTGTTATTAAAGGCTTTCGAGTGTGGAGAACTTTGTAAAGCGTAATTAAAACCTTGTTAGTTTATTAATTATTCAATAATAAAAATCTACGTCATTATTATTTCTCTTAGCATGTGACTTAAAATTATAATTATTTTAAGGTACACAGAAAGTGGAAGAGTTACTTGTCTATTTAAAATAAGAAATTATTACAATGAATTCATTTTTATCAATTTTCTCTGTAATTTCATGACCTCTGATATGACATTAAGTTGCAAAATCTTGTATAAACAGTGGCTAATCCCGCGCTTAAGGTTTCCACGGAATTATGCATAGCCCTCGGGCTTAGGGGTTGTCATCTCATACCATTTGGCGGACGAATTTGTTGGTCATTACGAGGTTGTGTTTAGTATGATAAGAATTTGATTAGACCTTTTAGCATCGTCACTTAATTTATAAGTATCACTCAAGTCGAGTCATAAGTATTTAAAAAAAAATATATAAATGTATGTATCTAATTCACGTAACCATATGTATAACTGTAATTGAAGAGCTTTTACAAGATAATTAAAAAAAATGGGTAACCCTAATATTATATTTCATCATAAAATGAAAAGAACATATTTAATTATTTACATTCTCATTCCATTGGTATATGGCTATTTTTATAAAAAGTGAGATGTTTTATTAAACATTAATTGAGCTACAAATAACTTGTTACATAATATAGATCAGAAGTTCACCTGATGCTATGTGATACCGCCGCCCATGGACACCCACATTGCCAGAAGGTTCGCAAGTACGTTGCCGGCCTTTTACGAATTGGTACGCCTATAGTTAATTGAAATAACTTAAAGGCAATCTAAGGCCAAGTATTATATATTATTGTTCCTGTATTTGTTCTCTTATCCCAACAATAATTTTGTTAAGGTATGGATAGTAAAAAAGATGATATTGAGTGAAAATCATGAAATTTTCCGAGTGACGTAAAGTAATCAATACGGAGGAACGACGTGGGCCGTGATAACGTAATTACAGTGCTAGCCGCGCCCGTACACTCTACACCTTAGGAAATATATTATTACTGGCTGATGCAACTAAACCTAAATTAAAATAAAAAAGTAGTATGCGTTCTGTCTCGCTCTAACGCGTATGCGTATTGGCCGGTAGAGTGGTAGATTGAATTAATATCAAAGAAAAAAAAAACTGCATAAATAAAAAATAAATAAATAATTGTAATTGCATAAGTTGATAAAAAATGCTATGCAATAGCTTTACCGCGGCAGTCCCCGAGTACCACACGTTTTTTTGTATTAGTTTTAAATTCAAAAAATATGAACTATACCTAAGTTATAAAATGTACTATTATAATATGAAACTGCTATAGAAATGAATGATTAGAAAATTTTCGATTAGAATAACTTTAAAACTTACAAAGTCGACAGCAAGAAAACTTACATCCATAATTAGGAATTCGTTAGACAGAGTGCCGATACATTATAAATTATAGAATTTGTTAACAAACGTATCTTGAGCGTCAACTTATCTCTAAAGATTATATAACACGCATGGATGAATAAGAACTCATTCGTAGAAGTTCAGACTGCCGTACCTCTAACACAGTAATCATATAAATAGGGCACAAGAGCCGTACGAGATACAACCATAGTTATATAGCCACGGCTAAAGCCGGCTATTATGAGATTAGAGGTTTAGGATTCTAAATAAGCTTGCATATTGCATAATTCAAAAGCTAACATTTTATTTCAATCCCCGAGCTTCATTCAATTCCGTAACTTCTATCTGTAGTTTGGGGCTATTTTTGCCCTGACTCGATTTGTCTGCAAACCACGACGGTCTAGTCACAAATTGATCGTTTTATTTGGATAAGGTAAATGCAATTTCAACTATGCTTCAATAACTATGAATTAAAGTAGGTTATTGGGTAAGCATTTGCGTAGATTATAGATTTAAGTGAAATGCGCAAGACTTGTAGTTGACCTAGCCTTATTGAGAAACGTTAATATTTTATAAAATACAAATCAGATGTTTATACTGATTAGTAAAACTCGTTTAACATTTCGTGTCTTATATTCGGGTTGGATTTTAAAATAAAACTATTATAAATTCTTAATAAATGTTTAACATTTATTTTTTTACGATTTTTATATTTACGGTATTAAAAAGTATTAGTAGTTAGCAGGCAGTATTTTAAGTGTAATTAATTAATTTGCGATTTTTGTTCTAAAATAAGTGTTGTTTGATGATTTGCTAATTTAAAAGCGTACCAAGAGATTTTACGCCGGCTTTTTCTCTCGTCCTACACCCTCTCTCTTCTTTGCCAATGAGTAGGGATGTCTACTGATTCAAATTTAATGACGTGGAATCAGTGATACCTGTATCTTATATTCCATAATAAACATATTCTATTATTTTTATTTTTTATTTTATTTTTACGTAATTTAAAATAAATAAATGTAGAATTGAAATTTATTCTTAATCCTTAATATAGTATCAGTACATGCCATATACGTATAATTTGTATTTACAATGTTCTTAACCTACAAAGTAATACTAAAAATTATTTAAAAGAAAATTAAAACTAATTTAAAAAGTTTGGTCCCTGTGGCAGCCTTAAACGCTGGCAGCATTTCCTCGCTGTATTGCGATACTTATAAATTGAGCCAGGAAAGCACCAGCTCTAGGGTCACCGGTACTATCTATCTACCAGGCGCCAACTTAAATCTTTAATAAGTGCCTGTGGTACACTTGAACCCACGGTCCAAGAGTCCCTACTCCATAGGGAACAAAATCGAAGTTAAAGGAAAGACTTATAATTGAAATTTTAATTCTGATTAAATTATTATCGTATTTATATTATTAATAATTACTACATCATGTATATCTATTATGACGTTAAAAAAGACAATGATCAATATGAGATCGTTTACGTTTTTAAACCTTCAAATAATGTTGTAAATTTCAATTAATTGCACCTCGACTTTTTAATTCTAGCTCGGAACAAGATTAATCGTAAACATGTTACACTATACGCCATTTAACTGCACATTTCCTGACTGCGCGATATAATCTTCAACCCTTTCGCGGCTAGACTAACTGTTAATTGTTGATCATATCTTACAAACAAGCTTTTGTATTTAAAAACTTACGTTAGTTTTTTAAAATGTATGCATAGCTGTTTTAAGGTAAATGTGTATTTTATAAATGATGTGTATACAATTATATTAGTGGTAGATTTTTTTATTAAGTATCTTTAGTCTGTTAAATTCTTTTTAAAAATTGCTATGTAGAACTCATATCTCGGAGACCTTCAAATATTAGTATTATGTATTTTCAATTCTTCATGCAATTTTTGAAGTTATGCTTCTTTAGGCGCATTATGAAAAATTGATGAGAGTGAAATTTTACGATGCGCGCGCACCGTGACACAAAATTAACAGAATGAAGTTGCCCACGGAATTGCTTCGGCAATGGACATAATTTTAAAACAACATTCGAATAATAATAGAATTTATGTTACACTTAATGTAAGAGAATAATAATAAATATTTATTTATTTAATTTTTCAAATGTAAACTGAACTTCATTGACTATAATGACTCCTTTTCCAGGCTTTGATTATTTAATTGTAATTAATTGTTTGCATGCATTTAATAAAACACTATTTTGACCGGATTGAAGTTATGTATTATTATAAATTTACAACTATTTAACATAATTTTAAATTTATCCGACGTTTCGCGTTCAGCGGGGTCACGGTGACACCAATCCGGTCAAAATAGTGTTTTATTAAATGAATAAAAGTTATGTTAATCAAAGACAATACTATTTGCATGCAATCAAAAACTATGTTTAATAATGCCAAAGAAGTATAACTTCTTAGGCGCGTACATAAGTACACGCACCCTTTTTTTAAATTTAGGTGGCAGTTAGTGTTGCTATTCATACTTTATAATAAAGTATTGTACGTTACTTCAGGTAAGTGTACTACTTACTGATACTAATACTTTATGATAACAATAAAGTAGTTAGTCGTAAATATTTTTTCGTTAAACGGAATTTATCCATTGGCGCAGAATCGATGTTGCCACTCGCTACTACTCGCCAGCGCCACATGGCCACGTCACTTTAGTGTTCGTTAGTGAATAAAAAAAATATTTTACTTACTTACTACTAATATTTTTCTTGTGTACGTATTATAATCAATGTACTTTAATTGCAAAAAAATGTTGCTTCTTGGTTTGTTAACAGTTAATAGTTAACCAAAAATATAGCAAGAATATGTTATAAGCCCTAATAATTCAAAAGTTTACACTAGATTAGTTAAAAACCCGTTCAAAATTCAAATTATAATTTAATAACAAAACGCCACTCCTTTTATTAACCATGGTTTTTTAACTATTTTTAAGTTGCTGCAACCATGAAACCTTAACAAAATTTAATTTTAATTAGGAAGAATGAACAAATCGATCCAGTATATAATAAGACATAAACGACCTGTCCTCATTCAGTCACTTGTTTCAGGCCGGCCATCTCCAACAGTCATCTGGCTTATAGACAGTGTACCCGCACCCCAATACATCGGCGAGAAATCAGATTCGCACGTCGTTGTTAACAAACTCGAGTTACCTCACATCAAGAGATCCCACTTGAATACCACCTTCAAGTGTCGAGCCTCGAATACAAACCTTGTCAGCCCTCAAGAGAAGACGGTGCGCTTAGAAATGAATTGTGAGTATGACGTAATTACGTATTGAGGTATTCGCGACTCATCTGACACAAAGGTACGAAGTGTAATGCATGTAGTTTTGGTTTAAAGTTCTCTAGGTGGTAGATGGCTATATTTATATATATAATAATATATATTGAGTAAAACTTAATGGATAAAATATGAAAGCTTGCACTGTTCTAGTGGAGCTACGGGGTAGCGTAGCACTAACGTAGCATTTTTGTAGCTACGTAGGCTACGATAGCTATACAAGATATGCGCCTGTTACAACTAAATTGGTACTCTTCTAATTGGTCCAGTATTATTTTTGAAGTTGAAATTGTATGAAACGATGGAAAATATATAGTTATATACACAATTGAAACATATATATGTTTGGTTGTAATCTGGGCATTCTTATGGTACAGATTTAATATATTATTCTAAAAACTAGTATAATAATATGTACTATAGCTTTATTTTATTCCATAAATACAAATATATAGAGACAATATTAACAGTAAGTAATAAATTAAATAGAAATTCCTCAAAGGGATTTCATATATTTTATTTTTTGCTATGTCTCGAAGTATATTCATTCAATATGTTAAATCACAGTTTGACAGTAAGTCATATTTTAAGATTAAAAAATCAATTAGAAGTAAGCTGATGAATTTCCTTCGGTATAAGCGTTACTCGAATTACTATATAAATATAACTTCAACATAACGTAATGCGTATATCAAATTATTAAGTTGTTGTTCCCATTTCAGCTTTCCAATCCTTGAAGATATGAGCTGTACATTTGTTACAGTGAGGCCGACGTTAGTGCAGATAGCGAAGAAGCCGGCGACGTTATCAGCGGAGCGGCACGTCAGCTTATCATGTGTGGCGGAGGGAAGCCGCCCGCCCGCCCAGCTCACTTGGTTCAAGGACAATAGGAAATTCACCAGGGGGAAGGTATGTTTAGCCCGTCTCTTGTTTTTAACTCGTATCAATTAAAGAATATAAATTTTGTATTCTCCTTATATTGTGTCTTAATATACACCCCTAAAGTTATTTAAAACATCAGGCAATTTTATTGCTTCATGCATTTTTACAAATAAAGACGTAAAAGTAATTTAATTAATTTTATAGGCAATAAGTTGATCAGGTTATGTATTTGACACTGTCATCGATACACCAGATCCAAAGATACACCGGGTTCCTGTTACAATGTTTGGCTTCACCGTTAGTTGAAGCTAATTAGCGTTAAATGCGTACATCAGGACTAGCAATCGCACGCTTAAGCCACTAAGGGCTGATTCGACCAAACAAGAGTAAATCTTAATCTTAGAATAAATCGTCAGTTAATCGAGAGTAAATCAATTTTACGTTTTACCAACTACAAATTCTAAGAATAGTGGGCTTATTCGGGAATAGCTACTATACCGCCGTTTCGCACGGAATAACAGCTATTCCTAGAATAATTTAATGGCGTCAGTCAGTCCAATCAGCTGATTTCTGTCATTTCACAAATATGTATTCTGTGTTTTAATTTCAAGTCAACGCAACGCACTAAATTAATAGTCTGGCATTGTATAATGAAACGTTTAAACAATTTATTATTTATTTATTTATTTTTAGATTTTTTATTTTATATAATATTAGAATGAAATTCAACTAGGCTCAACAGAAGTTCCTTTTTAGACGAAAGCCTCAAACAAACAAGAAATAAAAACTTTTTGTTGTCGTTTGACACCTGTTAAAAGCTACTTTTTCACTCTATAATACGGCAAAATCGAGTTGACATGATGTATGCTCTTACACTGTCCCGTTGTAGAACAACATTTATTTGCCGAGTTTTATTTTCGTTCACCATTCTCTTGCTATTCGCGTATTGTTATTCCTAACGCAATTATACTATCGATTACGTGGACAAACGACTATGGATTTACTCGAGATTAAAATCATGGAATAGATTATTCTTGGTATAGTTACTCGTGTATAAATTGAAGTTTGGTCGAATCGACCCTAAATACACTAAAACAGTTGAACTAACCTTAAGAAAACAAAAAACATAAGAAACGTTGTGTACACTGTACATGCTTTTATTTTACCGCAGGCCATAAATATATCAGATTCTTACCATTATTCTCTGTCACCACCCACCCGCAACATGAATGATTATTTCTGTGACATATGATTTTATTCCTCGTACTCATCGAAGCTTACATCAGTAATGAATACGTGTATAAAACATTCATTGTACTCGTCCATTGTCGGGATTCCAATTAATTACTATGTAAAAGGTTATACATTAAAAGGCGTTCCATATCCATGTACTTATACATTATTTTTAATAAGTATTTATTGTTTAACGTTTTTGCTTTTATTGCGACAAATTAAACAAACTTAATCAATTTTGACCTATAAATAAATCAGTGGCACTACAACCTCTTTAGATCGAGGCCTCCGATTTCTGAATCTGTTTCATGATCATTATTCAATGTAATAGGTAAGTAGGTGATCAGCCTCCAGTGCCTGACATACGCCGTCGACTTTTTGGGTCTAAGACATGTCGGTTTCCTCACGATGTTTTCCCTCAGAGTTCCAGCGAATGTTAAATGCACACATAGAAAGGAAGTCCATTGGTACTCAGCCGGGGATCAAACCCTAAAGGATGAGACTCGCACGCTGAAGCCACTACGCCAACACTGCTCAACTTTTACCTATACAAACTAAAATAGTTTAGTAGATTACGCAATGTTACACTAGTGATTTCAGACTACGACTGCCATCCCTTAGTTCGTACTTCGAACCCGAAAGAACTCTCTATCTATGTGCACATTTCTATATTCACTCTTAGGGTGGTACAGACTATGTAACATATTATATAACTTGTGTTTTATAACACGTCCACATTATGTAACCTTGTCATTCAACATTATAACATAAAACAATACTGTACACATAATTACATTATTGTTAGAATAACAATGCAATATAACAATGTTATATAACCATTGTCGTTTGTCGTTCTCCAATCTCCAGTGCTATCCACAATGTCGACACGAGAGGACGTTTTGCTGGCTGCGGCAGCGACTGTTATAATATTAAATAACAAAAAGAAAAACAAAAAACGTAGATGCTGGGTTCATATCAATAACATAACAATATAACATTGTGGTACATATCAATAACATGTTATTATAACATGTTTTATAACATTCAGTGTCCACATTATCTGAAATATGTTGTATAGCAATGTTGTATAACATGTTATGTTATATAGTCTGTACGCACCTTTACAGTAAAGAAAACATCGTGAGGAAACCGGCATATCTTAGATCAAAAATGACGACTGCGTATGTCTAGCACAGAATGCGGACCTACTTATCTATTAGATAAATATAATATTGTTATAGTACCTAGGAAACATTTTATCGCGTTAGGATCATTTTCACGTGTAACAAGAGTTTTAGATTTGCCGTCAATTCACAAAAACAAATTACAAATGAATGCAATATCCTACATTAGGTTACCAAAGACTTCTAAAATTGAAATTCAAAAAAAGTTTTCATTAGCAATGTTTCTAACTGGCCAGCTCTAAACATTTTCAGTGTTACCCACATAATATTACACAAAGTATAACAAGTATTCTCGTTCTCATCTCAATCATGTATTTTTAGTGGTATTTTCTATATTTTTTTAACAAAATCGCTATCCTAACAATTCCTTTGTCTTCAATAATTGATAAGAGATTTTAATATTAGAAATAATCTTAAATGACTATTTCGGTACAGGTAACTGAGGCTGTAAATGATACATGGGTAAGCAGTACCATTCAGTTCACACCTCTTCCCGAAGATGATAGTGTTCAAGTCAAGTGTCAGGCGGACAACAGCGCCTTACCAGGACAGAGTATAGAAGATGCCTTCAAACTAGATGTTGTGTGTGAGTATAATTATGTACTTTAATAAATAAATTATTATTTAAACATATCTAAATTTGATTCAACGTATAAGAATTAAATAATTTAATATATTATTTTTGCCACAAATTTCATAATATTTTAATTTAAAACACTACACAATGATTGTCCACTCAATTCAATAAACAGACTTTTCACAAAATATTGAAAAACACCTTTATTGAAAAGCATTACATTTTCGCTATTCAAAATAACGCAAATTTAATTTCACATTCATTAATAAAGTGGATATATAACATTAATCCGAAAGCAAATACAATTCACAATCCACATCTTAATTCACAAAGACATTTCCTAAACGAATATTGCTACAAAATAAGCAATAACGAAGCTCAACTCAACCAGTTTTCACATTTCTGACATCGTTAAGCTTAATTATCATTGCTACTTAGAGCACCTTGCGAACGGCCTCACACCGCTGAGCATACAAGCTCCGTTTTGTTTCAGTAAATTTAATGCTGAGGAAATTATCTTACAAGATTATGTACACATGTATATTTAATTAGAGGAGAGTTGGCCTAGTGGCTTCAGCGTGCGACTCTCATTCCTGAGGTCGTAGGCTTGATCCCCAGCTATGCACCATTGGACTTTCTTTCTATGTGCGCATTTAACATTCGCTCGAACGGTGAAGGAAAAGAAGAAACCGGCTTAGCTTAGACCCAAAAAGTCAACGGCGTGCGTCAGACACAGGAGGCTGATCAGCTACTTGCCTAATAGATTAACAAATGATCATGAAACAGATTCAGAAATCTGAGGCCCAGACCTAAAAAGGTTGTAGCGCCACTGATTATATTATTATTATATTTAATTAACTGTCGCTTGTTGTGAAAAAAGTATGAAATTACAGTGTTAGGCTAGCTATTAGCCTAACACAGTCAAACCCAACTTATAACCCTGGGACTGTTTATAACCTAGCTATGCACTAGGAGCATTCGTATATGAAGACTTCTAGTAAGTACTTATCTAAGTAAATACTTATTTACTCCATTGACGATCCATGTACCGATTGCGCGCAATCAACTGCCAGACAAGCATATATGAAACAAAAAATATAACCTATAAGTTTATTTCTATACTTATAAGTTGATAAGAGTGTTAATTTATTTGATATAATGTCGAAAGAAAAGTAAATTTACTGCTATATTTAGCGCAGTTGATAGGACTCCAAATATCCTTGGACACAAATGTTAGTAACAAGGATCATTCATGTAATGTACATTAGGTGTTTCTCAAAAAAACATGAAAGACTGTGAATACAACAGATTTAGAACTAAATTAAAAAAGTATTTTACATAACTGCACTCAAGTCGATGAAGCCGCAAAATTAATGATTGCTCTTTTAATGCTTTCTATTAGGTCGTTTTCGATTTGCCAAGTCTGCGTCTTCATGCAATTAGAACTTTGAGTTCAACTTTTCTTACATTTAGTTTTCTAACGCAATGAAAAATTTTAAACCAACTTCAAAGTAAAATCACTCTTTAAAGTTTATTAAATAAATCCAAATAATATTGCTATTTAAGAATGCATCTAGTGTAACAGTAGCCCAATGGTACTAAAGCTTATCTCCAACCTTCTATCTCTATAATGAATATAGAGGTCAGTGTGTTCGAATCATGGCTGTGCAAAAATGGATTTCAATTGAGCACATTTAAAACTTGCTCCTACGAAGAAAACCTGGCGAAACCAGCGAACATAAGACCAAAAAATCGATGTCATGTATCAGCTACAAATAATCTTGCTTCAAAACTTAAAGGTTGTAGCGCCACTGCTTGTTTGTACGTCTATAAGGATGATAAAAGAATTTCAAAGACAATAAAAAAAAGACAAAAGAGATAAATTAAGCAGACCTTACTGTGTATTTGTTACAATTATAATATTTTCCATCGCCAACAATTATAATCATCCACTTCACATCATTAATATTATTATTACAGTCCATTGTACGAATTACAAATATAAACAAAATAATCCTGACGGAACATAAACTATATATACGGCCTAAGAGTAAATGGCTCCAAAAGTAATTAAACAATGAACCCGTTCACGCATCGCACCCAAACACATATTGTAAACATTTTCAAAGAGACGCTTGCTGTTATTAAAGGCTTTCGAGTGTGGAGAACTTTGTAAAGCGTAATTAAAACCTTGTTAGTTTTAGCGAGTCCTCAACGTCAACATTTGCCAGCCGAATAGTGGCCAAAAACTAATTCAGAGTGTAGTTCGCATCCGTTTAGAAGTCGAAACACATTCACGGCTATTACGCTATGTTTTACAGAACTCCAACTCCTAGGAAAATAGTAAAATGTAAGCTTAGAACGTTGTATTAGAATGGAAAATTGTTGCAATTTCAGCTACAACTTCACGCCTATTTACGTTGGAAATGAACGCCGTGGCGAATTCTATTACTGTGAACTTATAAAGTTTAATATGGTTGCTACAATGCCTCATAATAGCGTGTGAAATTGTGTTTATTTGGAAAAATTATTAAACGTAAACATTCCCGTTTTCATAAAAAAAATCTTCTTTCAATTGTCAACAGAAGTTCATTTATTGCACTAACTGGTTAATTACCACTTATTTAATATGTATTTATACCTTTTTTATGTCGTTACAAGTCAAAAACATAGCGTTCTATTAGCGGTAAATATTGTAATAATAAATAACTATTCTACCCAATAACGATGTACCATACAAAAACAAATCAATTTAAGGTGATAACAATCCTAGGAAAATGTAATTCCAAACATTGATAAATGTAAAATTACTCGTGCGTACGTCTCAGAAGTACTCAACAAAACAAATTAATTCCGTTACGGGCCAGTCATCAAAATGAGCAAAACGCTGACTCTATTACATAACGACAGAGGAAATTAATTTACAAATATAAATAAATTCTATTTACTTCTGCTTGGCGAACCGTAACGCATTTAGAGCGTGGGGAATTTCGCTCCCAGCGCGAATCGTTTTGGCAACAATTTAAACGGTAGAATCGTAAATGTTTATTTGGAGGACGTTTCTCGTCGGGCGTCGCGGGGAGTCAGGCGTCGTTATAGGTCTTTAATGGCCAATAAAGTGTCAGCGCTCGTTTCCTACAGATAACCGTTCACCTGAACAGACCGACGCTTCGATGCAATCTCGAGGTAGGCGATGATTGCTATTACTAATATCGATTTTATTAGGGAATTTGATGTTCAAATTAGGATTCGGTGATTGGTGTTAGATTCTTGCGCGGTACTAATGGCAATCAGGAAAGAATCGTTAACGGGGTTTTTTGTATGAAAACAACGCCTCTACGGCATGAAAAGTATTCAAAAGCGCCACAACTGAATTTCTATTTATGACATGAAGCAATTTCTGGGTTTAAAACGTGTAGTCATGACGGCTCATTGGTCTAGTGGTAAGTACCTACCCCTGACTGCGAATCCATGGGTCCCCGGGTTCGATCCCCGGCTGAGACATACATCGATGTGATGAGCATTTGGTGATGTGCTTAGGTCTTGGGTGTTTAAATATGTACTTATATGTGTTAGGTCTATCTATGTATAATATGTATGTATATCCGTTGCCTAGTACCCATAACACAAGCTTCACCAGCTTAGCATGGGACTAGGTCAATTGGTGTGAATTGTCCAATCATAAAAAAGTCATTGTTTTGATCTAAAGGTGGGAACTGACCAACGTTACGAGGTGTAATGTAACATGTAATGTAATGTTGCACAGCGAGCATTCGTGCAGTCAGTACGTCGTGTTACGGGGAAACCAAGCGAGCAACGAGCCGCTCGTTGCTCGCTTTGAGTGCTCCACCCGGCTGTCGGTTTTTAGGCGAATCCTTTGACTGTTACGCGGTTCAGTAATTACGCGTCGCACGTCGCGAGTCATCATGATTATGATTTTCTATAAATTGTGTCTTTTTTTAAGTACTTTTGGTCCAATTAAATTCAACAGTTCTTCAAAATCGAGACCTGCGTACAAAGTTTTTATACTGTCCAGTAATCATTTGGTTTTTAATATTGCAATCAATAACAAACCACCTCATACGCCTGTGTTTTTAAATAAGTTTTATGTCCAGTAACATTTTTTCTTCTTCTTAATTTGGATGAAACAATAATTAAATAGAATGAAAGATATCAACATTATCACTATCACATCTCGTGAACACTGGCGGCGAAAGTGGAGCACAGAGTTTTGACGAGCATGTTACGCTGATTTTAGAACACAGCGTAACATGCTCGATGCGTAACACGCTCGATGCGAATGCTACATTACACCTCGTAACTTTGGTCAGTTCCCACCTTAAGACATCCAAATCGTATACTAACGATCAAGTGTTAACAAACATTTATTAGCGCACAATCGGAGCTAAACTTACAACTACAGAGTCAATGGCCGCGCGAATAACCATTTGACATTGTTTAATATTTAGTATTTATTTGAAAGGAAAGACAACGATTAATCGGTTTTAATAAGCATTGATATGTTTTAAATAAATTTATTACTAAAATATTCTTAAAGCGTATTTCAAATAACTTCAGTTTATATTAAATATCATGACGACTATTCTGCATTCTAGCGCCGCGTTCATAAATTATTACGTCAACTTTTAATAATAATAATGTTAACAAAGATCTTAAGTTCAATTTAATAATCTTGATAATTTGTAAGTAACAATTTGTAGTAACTGATGCAAAATTTGTCCTGAACAGAATAAAATATAATTGTATTCACTAAAACTTAGAATGGGAAAGTATAAGCCTTGTAAGAAAATCTTTGGTTACTTTTAAGACTATGCCAGCCCCAAGTTAAGAAACCGTTGAGGTATTCTTTAACTTGAAGATATTGTTAACAATGGTTAAGTTAGCCTCACAATATAAACTTTAGTTTACATATTATATAGTATACACAATTTTACTTAGCAGTGTTGCCCTAGTGGCTTCAGCGTGCGACTCTCATCCCTGAGGTCGTAGGTTCGATCCCCGGCTGTGCACCAATGGATCTTTCTATGTATGTTATATGGGCAAACGGGCAGGAGGCTCTCCTGATGTTAAGTGATACCCATGGATACTCACATTCCCAGCGGGCTCGCAAGTGCATTGCCGGCCTTTTAAGAATATTTTGTGAGACTAGTCGTTTGCCACTCGTTTTATTGTATCGAGTGCGGGCTTCACGTTTTAAAAATACTTACTATACTATTATAAATAACTAAAATGTGACTAAGTTACGAGTTTGACCTTCATACCTGTTGGGTAGATGTTGAATGAACAATTTCTAAAAATGCGTTCGAGAGTACGAGCTCCTACTTGTTACTCACACAAAAGAACTTTCATACAGGGGTAATAACAATAAATGTAAAAAAAACTCTGGATAATCTACCGATGAAATTACAATTGTTACCTTAGTTGGAATTTATCTAATTTAAATGGAAAAGTATAATTTCAATATTGCTTTTAGTTTAATAAAAAAACATATACGGACGGCTCATTGGTCTAGTGGTTAGTACCCCTGACTGCGAATCCACGGGTCCCGGGTTCGATCCCCGGCTGAGACAAACATCGATGTGATGAGCATTTGGTGTTGTGGTTAGGTCTTGGGTGTTTAAATATGTATCTATATGTCTATCTATCTATAATATGTATGTATATCCGTTGCCTAGTACCCATAACACAAGCTTCACCAGCTTAGCATGGGACTAGGTCAATTGGTGTGAATTGTCCAATCATAAAAAATCGTAAAAAATATACAATACTTTTACGAAACACGTCAAGTTAACCGTTAGCCTAAATATCTTACACAATTATTATAAACAACGATACCACACGCTTAATTTAAATGGATAACCTCCTTTTTTGAATTGAAAAAAATCAAATCATCAAAAACCTTTTTGACATAAGTAATTGTTTCAACCCACAGAAGATATAATAAAAACTTTCTTACTAACGTTATTATCTTAATCTTATACGTAGATTGACATAATTTGTAATTCGGCTCTAGATTAATCAACTACATTTTTAGACTCCCTAATGGATCCATTAGCTCCAACTTTTTGTTTACTCTCACCGAGGATGTCAAATTTTATTAGTGAACGGTAATTACTTTAGCATTAAGTGAAGCTCTAAGCCTTAAGTTTATTTAAGTAAAAAATTAAGTTATCAAATTAACGGACTAAGAAAGACAATGGACCTGGTTGATTCGAGAACTCTTGCTGATTACAATCTTGCTCTTTTTAACAATATATATCTATTTTAATACACGCAGCCTGCGTTATTAGAAATAGGAGAGGAGTAATATTCATATTCAATACTTTGTCTATGCTTAGGCATTTAGGTAAAGTATATTGTGGAGAGATTTTTCTTATCTATGCAGAATATGTGACAACTCTCACATATTTTTTTAGACGAGTTTCAAACCTGGTAACATTAATATCATAGTTTAAAAAAATATTACTCTTTTATTTAATATTGCTACTGTGAATATGATTTGGTATTGCTCAATTTCGCAATATGTACTTAAATTGAGTGTTTATCGTTGTCTATGAAAAATCCTGTAGACGCAAAGATAGACATACTTTAGCTTATAATTCATGCATGGTTTTTGTTTTAGATCCGCCAGTTGTTTCCTTATCATTGGGTAGTACGCTAAATCCGGACGAGATCAAAGAGGGCGATGACGTCTACTTTGAATGTTCTGTGCGTGCCAATCCAAAAGAACATCGTATCACGTGGTACCACAATGTAAGTAATCTGTGGCAATTCAAACTGGCCGTATTTCAGAGAAAAAAAAACCAAATGAAAAAAGAACGACATTTGTGCATTTGACGGACACCACTAATTATTATTTTATTAACTGGCAAATTAAATAAACCCTTAATTTACTAGTAAAACTGTAAAACTATAAATGAATTTATAACCTAAAATAAGGAGCGAAACACAATTCCCTCAGGAGTAATGTGTTTATATAAGCAAAACAAATGGTTTCATCAGATGTCGGGTACGTTTTGATGGTTACATTCACACTTGGCTGAACTGTTGTAATTTCAGGGCATCGCTTTATTGCCTTTATATACAACAACCCTATCACAACATGTATTTAGCAACAAAAAGGTTTAAATTTCACTATACACTGAACAATGTCAGGAAACAATATATTTAAATAGCGCGAATATAACTAAAAAACTTTTAACATCAAAAACTGCGACTGAATTAAATGGAACAAATCTTATTCAGTATTAAACATTTTAAAATTATTTACAAATCGTCTGCTTTACCTTATATCAGTACAAATATAAAAGCTTAATGTACGTTTTCTTAAAAAAATTACGTTTTCCGTTTATAGATCTATCTATATAACAACTTTTACAAAATACCTCTTTCGTCCAAACAACCTCTAGTCAATTGTTTTTTCACATTTCAAAAATGGAACAGTCGGAAAGTGTGAGCACTAGTCAAATACAGTTCATCAATCTGTTTGTAATTTAATTGGCCTTTTGAGTCGAATTCGCAACAAAATGTTGAAGTTTCAGAGTAAACTAGCTCAATAAATCATCAGTTAATTCAAACTATTGGTATTGGCATATAGTGATTCCGTAGTCAATTAATGCCGTTTAGTTTGAAGTTTTGTTTTACAGTTAGAACCTTAGTGTACATATTACATAAATGAATATCAAATAGTTATTGTATAAGATTTCTCCAATTAATTTAAATTAGAATTTTTGCTCATATATTTCATATTGTGACAGTACTAATGGTACCTATATGCGTTGCCTTTAAAAAACTTGTATGCCTACTATTTCAGTTGTAGCATCTCCTAAGGAACAACTCTGCTGGGACCCGATTCCACAGCTCACCAGTTCCCAACGTTCATTTTATTTATTTACAAAAACGCTATATAGTTAAATTTAGTTTATAGTATATTTTGTCACTGCTCATATTTTGTCGCAAAATTGGTCACAATAATAAAAAGCCTTTTATTCAGAAATTTACTTATATTAATTTTGCAGAATAAACCAGTTGGGCACAACGTACTTCTAGGCGTTATAGTAAGCACAAAGTCCCTAGTACTACAGAAAGTGACCCGCGACCACACTGGAGACTATTCCTGTCGAGCGTCTAACTCACTAGGCGAAACAGCCAGCCAGACAACTCATCTAAGTATACAATGTAAGTTTGTATTAATAAGTTAAATCAATTCAACCGGGCCGGGTGCTGGTATGGGACGCAACCTGTTCAGGCACACCGGCCCCTTCCCATCTACATGGAACCAATAACAGAGCTGGTACGGCTTGTGATGCAGCTGATAAAGCTAAATTAAATACAGGGGTCTCCGAATATGATTTTGTCCCATTCGGTGTCGAGACCCTTGGTGCGGACCAATTATGCGTGCGGATATTTTTTAAGGAAATAGCAAAAAGGTTAGTCGGCACAGGAGACCGAAGAGCTGGCAGCTATCTCGGACAGGAATTAGTCTAGCTATTCAAAGGGGGAACGCTGCCAGTATCTTCGGAACCTTGCCTAAAGGGACTCCTTTTAATAATATATTATTGTTATTATATTTTAAGGTTAGTTATTGTTTTTAGTAAAGTAATTTAATATTGAAGTCAAATGTAAAACTCGAACAATCTAGCTTGTAGTAAAATACCGCAATACAAGTGGGATAACCGAGGTCTGGATCACCCACTGGGATCATTGTACATAAGTGAAACCTAAAAATATCTTGTGATTTTTCTTAGAAAAAAATTAAATGGCAGGTAGTAGTATAGTCTCGTGCTTTGGGTATACTAGCATCGAGCTTTGAAAGCTAAAAAAAATGTATTTACAGTTATTCTTATTTTTAATTGTATTTTATTTACTTTTACACCTTTACACAAGACTTCATTACTTACACTACTAACTTTTACTAATATAATTTTTTTTTCTACTAAGTATTATGACATTCCTTTTCGTTCTTTTTTTTCGACTGAGGCGCAAACTAGCTGCTGTGGTCTCTGGCAGAACGACCAGCGTTGTGGAACATTCTGCTCCTCAGCATTATGCTGAGCCAGGGCCAATTACAACCAAAGCACACACGCATTACACACTTGAAACGAACCAAATGGGAAAAGGGTTTTTTTTATCTCTTATTATATTTTTTTTTCTTTGATTATTATTATTTTGTGTATTTATGTGTGTGTGTTTTTGTAAGTAATAAATCTTATTCTATGTCTAAAGTAAAGTAACCGCGTAAATTCCTATCTCTATAGGAAGTTATCCTTAGTTATGATTTGGAGAACTTTCACAACTTGCAATTGAGGAGTTAGCGAATCGTTGCAACATTGAAGAGCGTTTCTATGCTTAAGTAATATACTCATAAGCGTTGATAGACATTTTAGTGACATAGTAAACACAAAATTCGGATACAGTATTGTGAACTTGTATCGGTTTTTAAAAATTACTAATTTATTGCTTAATTTCAAAAATTTCTAATCTAATCTAATCCTATTCAATGAACAATTGAATAGATTTGTTAAATTCAAATTTAAAAATCATTTAATAATATAAGTAACACATTGAACACTTATGATCGTCAAAAAAAGAAATGTATTTGAAATGCTTCTAACTTAACATTTAGTGCCAGTTCTCAAATCAAAGGCGAAGAACGGAAGAGATGGCAATAAACTCTCCGCCACTCTTTTTAATCGCCATGTTTTTTTTACACAACATTTGTTAGGAGCTGCAACCATTACACTATGTTCCACATGAAATCTTAGCTAATTAATAATAAAAACTATCATAGCCTAGCCATAGTATAATATGAATAATTATGAGCTTTTGAAAATAAACTTTTCCACCCCCTACAACCAATCACCTAAAATCAATGACCTAACAGACAGAACGGCGTTCCGATCCATAAAAACGTAGATAAAACTACTCCACAAGTAAATTGTACGACCGTTTATCCAATTTCAATCGATGGCCTTTTGTTTTCTATTATACTGAAACACTAATTTCATTTCAGAGCGGCGTTCGTTAATCTCAGAGTATCAATCAATCTCTAAAAAGCGTGGATTTGTTACAATCATTATTTATTCGAAGAAACGCTGAATAAATCGTTTTTTTAACAATTTTTAAACTGACCGTTGATTTAGGCATATATAACTATTGATTCAATTTTTATCTGTTAGAAATTGATTACACTTATATACGCGTAGACGTGCAGTGTTGATCTAGTGGCTTCAGCCGGCGACTCTCATCCTTGAAGTCGTACTTTCGACCCCGTCTGTGCACCAATGAACTTTCTTTCTATGTGCACATAACATTCGTTTGAAAGGTCGACGACGTGAAGGCACAGGAAGATGAACATCTACATGCCTATTAGATTGACAAAGGATCATGAAACAGATATAGTAATCTGAGGCCCAGATCTAAAAAGGTAGCGCCACTGATAAAAAAATAAGCAAAGACGTGTTCGTCTAATGGTGATACCGACATGGTGAGCCCATAAATACTCATTGCCACAAGGCGAATGCTTTGTCAGTCGTTTTCATTGAACTTACATAGCAGGGAAAATAGACTTTGGCATTTATAACCACAATAAACTCAAACTCAAACTCAAACTCAAAATATCTTTATTCAAGTAGGTAACCAAGTACACTTTTGAATCGTCAAAAGTAAAATAAATTGAAAATTTACATTTACTACCAGTTCGCAAGTCAAGGGGCGGGGTAGAGAAGAACTGGCAAGAAACTTTCCGCCACTCTTTTTAATCGCCAAGTATTGTCATACAATTTTGAGCGCTCCGACGCCTAATAGAACTAAAATTACGAGGATGAAGCCCAATAATAATTTAGCAGGTCAGCAAAACTAACTTGCTCCATTTTAGTTTAAATACTTAAAATGTTAGAAAGGCATAATTCTGGTGTCATCTAAGAAGAGACGTATTTTATTTGCGACGCCAAAACAAAGGACAACGTATTTTGTTTGGCCAACGTTTTTTTAGGTAGGTGATCAGCCTTCTGTGCCTGACACATACCGTCGACTTTTTGGGTCTAAGGCAAGCCGGTTTCCTCACGATGTTTTCCTTCACCGTTCGAGCGAATGTTAAATGCGCACATAGAAAGAAAGTCGATTGGTGAACAGCCGGGGATCGAAACTACGCACTCAGAGGTAATAATCGCACGCTAAAGCCACTTGGCCAACACTGCTCGCCCATTCACATATTCATAAATTTACGCACGACATAATTAAGTTTTCATAAGACTACTTATCCTTAATGAATTGTTTTAAGGCGTCTACACACGGCCCTAAAATCAGTGGCAATATCGGGCCAATGCTGGTGCGGATGAAATCGGCTCGTTGTTCGAATCGGCAGTAGCATACTCAAATTAGTTGCCTACACACCAGGCAATCTAGGGATCGCCTGGTGTATATATATTGCCGATATTGCCTCTGATTTTTGGGCCGTGTTTAGACGCTTCTAAGCATGCATTTTGTATCACGAAATAATTATAATCTCTCCCACTACACAGGGGCTCCCAGGCGTTGAGACTAGCATTAGATCAATTTTATCACAACCATATTAATGTCATGTTCATGATAAAGTTTTATTATTAAATCTTATTTTTTCTATGGAAAATGCTTTTCTACTACTATTTAGCTACGAAAACTTATTATATTTTATCCTATGAGCGTAAAATATGATCGATCACGAAATAAGTTACGATAATAATCTCCTAGGAGATTTATTTATTTGGTAATCATTAATTCGTTAATGATATAACAAAGTTTTGGTAAACAAGTGGGGTGAGAAACGTGAATCATTATCGAAACATCAATCACAACAATTTATTGATTGGACTTCGATATAGTGGTAAAAGTTGTTTGATGGATTAAATGATCACTGTGATGAACGTTGTAATAAGCTTATTACATATTTGAGCTTTTAATCTTGGTTAAGTGTGTGGCTTATCCTGAGGTCGTATGTTCGAAGATTTCACTGTCTTTCTATATACGCAATGACAATAGGAGATGAGGGGAAACGACTACAATATTTGTCAGGTGTAGATAGATGTACTTATATGACTTTATAAAGTTAAAATTAAATAATCTGTGTCTTTCCCATGACCAAACAACTTATGCAACGGAGCTTGTGATAGACATATTTCAATGGTTTTTGTGTTCGTTATGGGTGAGTAGATTTTATTTCAGACTGGCCTAGATATATCGACATAGTTCTTCTGGCAACACACATGGAAGATATGGAGTACTATTCCAAAGTCTCAAGTTTCTACAAAGTAGGAACATAAGCTTCGCAGGTAACAGAGCAGAAACCAAACTGATGTTGGTAGATCGAGCCAGAAAGCTTCTAATGACGGCACCTCTGTCCCCGAGGTATAAAGGCAAATCAGCATGGCTATAGATGCCATGACACGTTTAGGCAACATCTGGAAGGAAAGAGGAATTATTATCAAAATCAAAATAAGACTGATACGGGCTCTAGAATTCCTTATATTCCTGTATGGAGTAAAGGAAGTAAAGGATCGATATCTTTGAGATGTGGTGCTGGCGGCGATGGATCGATCAAGTCAAAGACTCATCGTCCTCAAAACTCTACATTGTCATAAGAGAGGCACCGGGAAACAGAGAGTCCGCTCCAGATGCTTCCTTGCTGAACACCACGCTCAGGCATGAGTTGCCGATGAAAGAGACAGATATCAGATACTGAATAGTATGCCTCTTACTATAGACAAATACAGTAAACGTAGTATAGAGATTTTTTTTTATTGATAAAAAGCCAACGCTCTGTACACTGATACATTAGTAAAAACAGACACAATATATTTAATAATTTTTAATGTGACAAGCACTTAAAGGCAAACATGACATACATGGAGATTGTGAATTAACATGATTTATTATTTTTTATTAAAATTATTGAACCAAATCATAATGATGTCGCTTGAACATGGAACAGTGGACGTAAATTATATAGTCAAACTTTCGGTACCATGTTACAAACACAATTCGAGGTCTCTTTAGTTAATTATAACATTCCTCGTTCAGTTGAATTATTGTGCATTGTTTGTTATTGTCATATTCTCACTGTTAAAATTTGAATTATATAAAATATAATCATTGCCATTTAACATGTGTTAGATATTGTATAATAACTTGCACATTATAATAAGTTTTTAGTATTTGTGATGTTATGGGTGTTGTTTTTTAGAAAAAAAAAACAAGTATTCATTATTAACAATTTTTTTTATTTTCTCTAGAGTTTTGCATATTTCTATTATATATACCCATTGTAGGGTTCATAAATTTGTGGTGCTCATAAATACTAATATGTTAAATTTGACTTCAATTAATTATCGCAATCGATCTAATTTCGATCATGACGTTTCTGTATCTATCTTGCTAGTCTAATTTAGGTTTAGGTTTAAAGACTTTATTTCTCAAAAAAGACAACAAATGTCACTTACATGAGAATAATACTCTAGATAACATAACATTGTAGTCGTTCTTAAAATAATCACAATAAAATATAGCCGTATATGCAATAAATTTAAAAAATAAAAGTAAACAAAGAAATATGAATTAAAAGTAAGTAATAAGTAAGTAATAAGAAATGAATTTAAAAGTAATTTTGTTTAACATATTCACTTAGCTTCGATTTGAATGAATTGATAGAAGTAATATTTTTTATATCTGTGGGTAGTTTATTATACAGCTGTGCGCCTTCGTAGGTAAACATTTTTTTGCCGTAGTTCGTACGTACTTTAGGTAATGCAAGATAACTCGTTCGACGCATACTTCGTACACGTGGCGGTTTGGAGAATGCTAAACTAGTATGGAGAGAACTTGTTATAAATTTTTTTACAAGAATACATGTGTGATAAATATAAAGTTGTTTTAGATTCATTATGTTTGTGTCTCGATATATATTTATGGTAGGTGCAAGATAATTATAGTGGAACAGTATTTTTATAATTTTATTTTGTAATACTTGAATATTTATTAATTTAGTTTTAGCGGCGCTGCCCCATACTTCAATTAAATAAAGTAGATGTGGCTTGACCAACGAGTTGTAGATGATGTAACGTACCTGACGTGGGATACACCGAGCAATGTGTCGAAGTGATCCCATAAGTGAACAGAGAAGTGAACTAATTTGTATCGCAGACCCTCGTAAATGTTACAAGAAAATAATGTGTTAATGTATTAATATGTTTCTATTTTATATACAGTTGCCCCAGTATGCACACATACTTCGCCACAAGTGTTGGGAGCCCAAATGGAGGAAACACTGCGCGTGAGCTGCTCTGTAACAGCAAATCCACCGGATGTGACGTTTTTTTGGCAATTCAATAACAGCGGAGAAAGTCTTGACGTTTCACCTTCTAAATATGGTAATTAAATTATTATATGGAACTCATGATTCCTAATAATTAGTATAATTTAGCTTAATATTTCAGATTATACAATATTCCAGGTTTGTGAAGTCTATAAATATTATCAATAAGATCAGACACCCGATAGCTCCCATGACCATAGTGGGTCTCAAAACTATACGTGACAATAAATTCAAATTCGTTTTCGAAATATAACAATAGCTAAATAAATATAATGAAAATAATTTTCAACGTATTGTGAGTGCACGTAATCTGTTTAGTTCTTTAATTGAAAACACATGAAAGGAAACTCAATTACACGAACTGGAAGCACAATGCGGGAAGACAAGTGCAAAGTAAAAGCAAAACAGCAAACAAGAAAATCAAGATATACGGGAAAATCTAATTGTGCCAAAGATACTTGAAACTTGGAACACGTCACGCGTGCTCAGAACTTAAATTAGGAGAAAAGATTTCAAATTAATAACTCGCTGTAATAAATAAAGTAGGAAAGGAAGACGAAACATTTTAAACTTCACTTTGTAACACTCGATTTAACATTTATTTGTCCCGTATATATTCTTCGTAGAGATAAAATTTCTCATATTCTTAGATTACCTTATAAAGTCATTTGAAATTATTAATTGAATAAAACCAAATAAATAAATTTAGACTAAATTAACGAATAACCAATGTGTGACAGGATTTGGTTCCACGTTAAAAACATTTAAATTTACATAAATTTGACTCTTATTAAAATCTTTCTATTTGCCTCTTTAATGCATTATTGTAAGACGTTATATCAAATAAATAATTCAATAAAAGATCATTAAGCTTAGAGCAATGGTATAAAGATTTTTTTTCATACTAACACTGTCTATTTATGCGAATATGTATTTATATTTTGTCAATTTTTTTTATCTAGAAACACTACGGGTATAATATTTACAATATTCATGACCATGTTGCGAGTAGCTGCTCAGCTACAAACCGCAGATCGACAGAGTACTGGGACGCTGCGGTACCAATTTATGTTGCACGTGGTTTACGTGTGGTGGCCTGATTGTTTGAATACAACTAGTAACGACAGCACTGAACTAATGCCAATGTTTATGTAGTAACTTGAACTGATAAATTTTGTATTGCACTTTGGTGCTATAAGCACAAAGAAATGACAGCGAGCGAGATAGCATGGGAAGCTTTCAATCGGTGTTCGATTTTTAAAATAGATTCACTGATTATTAAATTGTAACGATTATGTATTAATTTTCGTGTTTAGAATACTATATTACAATACTAATACTACGTTTTTGTCTAAATGGAGTTTATGTTAAAACATAAAAGCGAAAAAAAAATCCTTCTTGGTCGTCTATAAACTCGAGAAATAAAGTATCCGCTACGCATTCAATCACCAAATCAGATAATTTGAAATTACAAATGCCAGCTATACCGTAATGACCGCACTAAATTCCATTAATTCATACAATAAAAATTATATCATCAATTTTATCTACGATTTTTTTTTATTTAACTTGAATTTAAATACTTCAGTTTTTATAGGCACTGCAAATGGTAGCACCAGCGAATTGATCTACAAGCCTCAAAGTGAAAGGGAGTACGGCGCTCTCAGCTGTCGAGGCACTAATTCTGTTGGCAGACAACTTGAACCTTGCATCTTTCAAATTGTACCAGCTGGTAAGTTGGCAATTACATTAAATTTAAACGTCACAATTTTAGTTGTAATGAATATATGTAGGCACTAGATTAAGGCATTTTATTAACGGGTCGTATTTGCAGTCCATGAAGTCTCGGGTAGTCTGGGCCCATAGTTAAAAGTCATTTTTTTTTATTGATAACTTGATATAAGAAAGTGGGTGGTGTCTGAATAGGGTAATCGGACACCGTGATTCGGGATAAGCGCGTTTAAACTGACCTGTGCCTATTCTTGTGGATAGTAGTTCTCTTATATGAGTTGTTTTACTTTAATTAAAAGTATCTTAACTTAGTGGGTTGCACTTGATTACACTTTTGTATTATTTATATAAAATAATTCTAAAAGTAAACGTCAATAAATGCCGTTTTTGTTAACGGAGTATCTACACACACGAGTGTATATTATAATAAATCAAATAGTTTGCAATCCTTTTTTGTGTTTTATTAACACTTTTAAAATCAGATAAGTAATCAATATGACATGATAAAATATTAATAAACGTATTCATTGAACATTTATTTTAGGAAAAGCTTATCAAAAAGTCAATCTGCTAACATCGAATTTTTAAAACACAATCACGAATGCATTTACACATCGCTTTTGAATGAAATAAAATAAAAATCCAATAACGTTTATGATAAAAAACGATGCATACGTTTGCAACAAAGCTCTGTCCTAGTTAATCCTAACTGTAGTTACTAATCGTATAAAAATAAAATCATTAAAACTGTTAATTCATGTGAATTTCTAATATATATTTCTACTACAACTTTCGTCGGTTTATTCTGTTATATTTCTTAAACTAAACGTTAAAACCTATCACAAACATGTCTTACCTCAATATTTATAAAAGTTTATCATTACCTACACAGATAATTATAATAAATGTAATTGTTGAATAGATCTGGAAGAGCCATAAATCTTTATAATTTAATGATTCTAATTGTAGTGATTTTTACGACGAAATGTCAAATAAAAAGTGTATATTTGTTTCCTTTAAAAGAACAACATCCTGGTATATTTTATAACATGTAAAATGTCATTTATCATATTACCGAATGCCTGCAAACGACAAATATAAGCTCGCAAGATATTTTCGCCACATTCCTACTTTACCCACGAGAGCGGCTGTCTCATTATACGTCTTAAATTCAGTGACAATGTGAATTTCTTCCTCTTATCGCAGCTTCCATTTATATTATTAGATATAATCTCAGCACGTCTCGAAATTATAGCGTTTAATGTCTTCGTACGGATTGTTAGTTTCAATTTGTGAGAGAAATTTCGAATTTTCGAAAACAAAAAGCTCTTAGTGAATTAGTTTCGTTATTTCAAGATTGCTTATTTATGACTGTGGTTTTTTATTGATTAAAAATGTCTTAAAGTAATTAAAAAAGTCTTTGCTAGTTTCTAACTAACTTTATTAAAATGAAACACATAATAAGGTACAATATGATATTACAAAGCCATATTTTTTCGTTTCTTTCAGTTATTAGAAACCCTTTTGAAACTCACCAAATAACACCAACGACTAATTGCAACTTTTATGTATATAAAAATTAATCTAAATTTCGCTTGGTCATCGCATCACGTGTGAACGGATAGAACAAATAAAAAAAACAAATTACGGAATGTAAGCAGGATTTTTACAAATTTAAGAAAACAAATGTTTTTGAAACGCGTTATTTGATTTTAGTAAGACGGTACAACGTCTTTTTTTATTTTAGAAAAAGGGGTTAACCGGCAGGAGACGTATCTGATGTTAAGTCTTACCGCCGCCCATGGACAACGCTCAATGCCAGAGGGCTCGCGAGTGCGTTGCCGGCCTTTAACCGTAACTTCCAAGATTGATTACAAAAGCAATTTTTGTACCACATACAGTTATTCCCCATATAACACGGTAGACCTGGACCGTTATAGGTAATCGCGTTGTAGTATTCTCGTAGCACCGTGTTTTTTAACAATTCCAAAACTAGAAACATGAATTTAATAAAGTTATTTAGTTTAATTTTATAACAATTCAATCAGGTGCAACTGTACGCAAAACTAATTATGGACTTGACAAATCATTATAAATTTCATATCTGTTTTCTGTCTGTTAACATCAAATCAATGTTGTCATAAAATTAAATAACGATAAAAATACGATAAGTATTAATATATTTGTCTTATCACGGAAGTATACAAATATATAAAGTATTAAGAAATTATCTCGCAACGCTACCTCACGATACAAAATTTTGATAAACTATTTTGTATTGAGCAACAAGATAAAGTGTCATCGATATCGTTTATAGACCATAAAAGTAACCATAAATTCAGCAGGTATTGAAAATATCAGACGCAGCTGCAAGAGAACAGTTATGCAATGGAACAGTCCCAACCCACAACATTTAATATCCTCAGAATTATAACATATAACATGCTAAATTGTCGACCCCAACCGCCATAAGTCACGACGAAATTAGTGAATTTAGCTCTGCACTTAATTTTAATTTCAACGCATGTTACATCTACTGCCGAGTTAGGAGAGATTAGCGGTATTAAGTTATGTGATATTATGAATATTTAAAGCCCGATGCTTAGATGTCATTTCGTTGAGAGGGTTGAGGGAAGATATCGTAGCATATATTTGATTTTGCCTTTAATTTTTCTTTTATTTTATATTATTTTTGCTTTCTAACATCACTCATATTAAAATTAGGACAATCAAATACTTATGAACATGAAGGATTTGCACGTGTAAAAATTACATCAGAACTTAATTAGGCGCAATATATATATGTTATGTTTTAGATAATTTTTGAGTTTGCATACAAATAATACGCATTAAGCAGTTTTTGACGAGCTTAGGTGCAGATAATTATTTTAACAACTCTAAACCCAAAAATTTAATAAAATCGATTTCCTTTCTTTAGCACGTCCAGCACCACCCCGGAACTGTTCTTTGCAAGCGGACATTAATGGCACGGATGGACTGACAGTGTTATACGTCCGATGCGTCGCCGGCTATGACGGAGGACTGCCGCAGTCATTTGTTTTACAAGCCTTGGACCCTGTCACTAATAACAATAAGTACAACATTACTGTCAATGACACTGGTAAGTATATACATTATAAATGTTATGTATGTCTTATAAATGTCAGTAAAAACAATCAGCATTTATGTTTACTGCCAGTTCTCAAATCAAGAAATAAAGAAGAATTCATTCATTCATTCTTTTGAATATTTTTTTTTTGTAAGAAGCTGCAACCAATACATCATATTCCTCTTTATATCTAAACTCATTATTTTATGGATAATTAAAAATAAATTAATAAGAAAAATCTTTAACTTGTATCAGCAAAATATTGGGTTATGTTTGACGTTTCAAGAGCTTTTCTTTATTTCGTTTTACCCGCGTTAATTCGATCAGAAAATTTTATAGTCTACAGAATTCCTCTGTAAATGGATTATGCAATACTAAGATTCGCATGGAAACATCAAATTAAACTTTTATAAAATTATAGATTTTTTCAGATTTGGCCGCATTCAATTTAAATTAGTTCTAATCGGTAGATTTAAAATAACGATTTAAGACGTGATTCGAACAGACTACCTAAAGTTCTGATTCGCAAGCCTTATGATTTATGAGCTTATGAGCTTAATTCATGTATTGAGATAATATTCGTTTTCATGTTATTATTTTTTTATAGCAGTGTTGGCCTGGTGGCTTCAGCGTGCTACTCTCATCCCTGAGGTCGTAGGTTCGATGCCCGGCTGTGCACCAATGGACTTTCTTTCTATGTGCGCATTTAACATTCGCTCGAACGGTGAAAGAAAACATCGTGAGGAAACCGGCTTGCCTTAGACCCAAAAAAGTAGAGGGCGTGCGTCAGGCAATGAAGACTGAACTTGCCAATTAGATAAGCAAATGATCATGAAACATATACAGAAATCTGAGGCCCTGACCTAAAAAGGTTGTAATCGATTTTTTTATCATTTTTTCAGATGGACTCGTGACCTTCAAGATAGACCTATCCCAATTGTCCCCCGGTGACGCAGAGGGTGCCACTGTGAATCTACTCATATATGCGAAAAACCTTAAAGGTGACTCGGAGAAAACTCTATTGGAAAACATTGCATTTAACGACGCAGCGAGGAGAACAGGTTTGTTACAACTTTGATTTATCTTCTATTTACCGTCACACATTTTGTATTTTTAATTCTTAATTATGGTGAATGTATATTTCTTACAGTTGTGCTATTTGTTCATCATATTATAGGTGAAGTAGATATGAGTAACTTCAATATACCTGTTTACTTGTACTTTGCCTTATTTAATAAGTTAGGTGTTTCTTTTTATAAAACATATTAAATGGTAATTTCTGCTTAATTTGACTATATTATTTTTAAAACTATAATGACTGTACTAACCAGATCTGAATAAAATATAGTAAACGGAAATACTTTGACATTTCTACTGCTTTTCAGGAGTAAGCGAGAAAAGAACTATGTAAATCGTGTGGTAAATTTTAAAATATCCGCCAAGGAAGTTTTATTATAATAAATACTTCATGACCGTGATTCTAGGAGATACTTCACGCGAGCTCAATGTACGAATAAGATCTTAATATCGCAATGTAACTGTATTTTTAAATTAAAGATGGTGTTAAAAAATAAAATATTGTTTTCGATATTACAATAACATTGTGAGAAAATCTATTTTAGAACGCAACCATTCAGATTTTAATTTTGTTACGTGAGGCCCTTTTTGTACTTGGCTCTCAGAATAAATTATTTAAATTGTATTGACTAAATTTTTTTTTATTACAACGTCCATTCTTTCAAATACTTATTTTATTAATGCTGATCTCTACGTTTCATAAATTGAATCACAAGAAAATAACAAGCTAATTACACACACAAAAGCTTTAATAAATGTGTTTTTCATACAAATTAATTGGTAGTTAATACACGATGAGGTGTGCAACCCCGTAAATAGGCTAACACACTGTTAATCAACACATTGTGATACAGTTCAACGCATCACAAAGGTGCAGCTGTATATACCAAAATAATAGTCGATATTACCAATCGTAAAAACTATTTGTATCAACTACAGCTCGTATTACAAATACGTTTGTATACACTGTACTTGCAGTTTTAATGTGTGTTTTATATATATTTTATTTATTAATATATTTTTTATACTAGTGTTATTTGCAAGTGTGTTTTATATTAAAAAAATATTTATATACGTTTCCCATACATATTTAAAAAGTCTCTCAAAGCACTTGCGAGCTTTCAGACAATGTGAATGTCTATAGATTGCTCCCTGGTCTATTAAATTGTAAACCGAATGGTTTTCTTTACAAAGTTATGGTACTTAGCTTTGTTTTGAGCTTGGTCTTAAAATTTAATACGTTGTCAACTAAGTTGTCGTACCATTAACGAAGACAAGTAAATTAATTATAATAATAAGTATTATATTAATATATATATATATTAATATAATAAGTATTATAATAATAATAATTATATATATAAAAAATTTATCCTTCACCCTAATATCGAGAAACTACCACCATTCGATCGAAATTTTTCCTAGATTAGAATTTATTTATTAAATTTCTTCCTTAATTATGCTGTTTTACTTTTAGAAAATTTATCCATACAGGGGGGGGGGGGGGGGGAAGGGGGGGAAAACCCCCCGGAGCTTCCTAGAACCTCTAAACGTCAACATTGTAATAATCGGGAAGTTAAAAAGAAGAATAATAAAAATATAAAAAAATAAAATAATAAACATGCCCAAAAAAAAAGGGGGGGGGGCGGGCGGGAAAAAAAAAAATAGTATTATAATAATAGCCTTTTAATTCAGTTACTTTTACACGTAAACACGTTTCTATATTTTCAATCTTCTTTTAGCAAATCCCTTTTTTTGTAAAGGCCTCCTCCAAATTCCGCCATTCCTCTCTCCTCTGTGCCACTCTCTGCCATGTACCACCTGCTGTTTCTTTAGTCTATCCACCTTCTAAGTCTGTCTGTCTGTCTTCCCTCTTTTTCGTTTGCTGTAACTTGGGCTGGTGCCCAAGTTTAGTACTTTTTTGCTCCACTTTTCTGTTCCTCTTGGCATGTGCCCCGCCCATTTCCACTTTAGTTTATTTATTTTTATTGTAACATCTGTTACCTTAGTTGTTTTTTTAGAGCGTCGAAAAATAATTTGTCCATAATGTTTTATCCTGTTACATTTTTTATACTACATACTCAACTGAACACAAAACAAGAGTTCGAAAGTCTATAAATCATGAATAGCGATAGAACGTTTAAAAAAACGTTCCTTTCATAGCATATTCACAAAAACTGTTTTCCTCGAACGATCAAGTTTTACAAAAGCAATATTTTAGTCGAGCCTAGTACGAAAAACCCTGTCGCTATATTCGACTCTCAAACAAAGGTAACTTTTTATAAACCTGAAAAAACTGGAATAGAATTCCATTTACTTTATGAACGTTTATGTAAAGTTGAAAATGTACAGCGAGATATAATTTAGCGGTTAAATCGACTATATTTCAGGCTGTTGTTTACTTTCTGTTTTGTACCTATACTAGTGAATTAAAATATAGTAATAATTTGAACTAACTATCAGTATAACGGCCGTATTCATTAATACAATAAAAAAAGATAAAAATAATAAAAAAACATGTGTGTGTACTTATGTACACGCGTTAGAAGTTATACTTCTTTGGCGTAACAAAATAATATTCTACGTTTTTATAAAAAACGTCACTAACAATAGAATAAAGGTATTTGATACATTGAAAGTTTTTATTATAACGCATTAGTTAAATAAAGTTTATTTAAATATTTATATATAATTAAACAAATGGACATTTTTTATTTTAAAATGTTGACTATGCTAACTTCAGGGTGTCGGTTTTCTGTGACGGTGTACGCGCGCATCGTTAAAATTTATTCTCATCGTTTGTTGCGCCAAGAGAAGTATAACTTCAATAGATTTTTATTATTTTTCCTTAAAACTTGCCTTTTACTAATCTAATCGAAATGACACAGCAGGTTTGCACGGTTCTTTAGATTATTATTCAATAACTTGTTATATAAAATAGACTCTGAGGACAACTATTAGTATATATATGTGGTAGCTATTGCGTAAACTTCTTAAAAAAAATAGTGCGTGAAGTCCCTCCATGCGTGAAAAGTGAAACTTCGTAATGTGGAAATGAAAAAAGGAATAGGTAGAAATTGAATTTTAGTGAAATCATATAGTTTAACGCAACAGTGCTTTTGTACCCCCCTCCATGTAGCGTTAAACGTTTAACGCAACCTTATTGTAAGTCGCAATACAAGTTTCACTTCAAAATCATAAATTATTCTCGTTATACAGATGGCAAGAACAGTATTGGAGGGGCCACTTTAGGTATTCTAGTGGCAGCCGCCTCAGGCGCTACTCTAGCTGCAGGTGGCATCGCTCTAGCCGCACTGTTTGCTCGGAGAAAGAGGTCACATCCCCCCCACAAACACCCGCCTGGGGATATGCTGGAATTGAGTGACGGGGGACGGCGGTATGTCGTCGCTTACACGATTAAACCTTCGCCAGACTCGAAGACGCCAGAACCTCAGCCAGACATATTGAATGCCCCAGGTAATAGGTGTTCTTATGTAAGTATATTGATCAACAACGAATTCTAATAACAAAGCAACTGAATAAGACAATATTTAATACAGATTGTTTGAAATTTTTAGTACAATACCAACATAACATTTTTATTCAATATTTAAAAAAAACTTACTGAGTCTTTGTTTAAATTATAATACATACAATGTTTTATAATTTAAACAAATACACACCTACAAAACAATTATGGATTCAATCGTACGTTGAACACGTTATAATTAAAAGTTATTGATGATATTCTACTCTATGAGCTATTATTCTCTGTTAATGATAAATGTACAGATATTTAATGACAATACATTACCGCACATACCTGTTTAGTGCTACAATACCTACTATGTAGCTATGTTTTATATTAAAAATGATAAAGTTCGATTTGTTTCTTGATTAAATTATATAAGCTTTAGATACTTCGGATATTAATAAAATAATGTTTATAATAAAACTTGCGTTGTTCAGACTATTTTTAATTGCGCATTTTAAAGGACTACTATCATAATTTGAAGTACATCATCCAGAATTTCATAATGATGAAATAAAAATTTATTTAATTGAATGGTATTCTAAAGTTAGCAAGGATCGCGGTACGGCAAAGTTGAAAATTTGTTTTTGTAGTACGCCTAGGAACGTCGTTAAAAAAAATATTTCACCGCAACGCTCTCCCAGCAGTCCATTAGAGATACTAATAAAATTCCGTCCGTGAATTTATTAACCAAAAAACCTGAGAGGCTTGTTTTCGTCCGTTAAAAACAGTTACTTTATTCGTAAAAGAGAAACGAGATTTGAGAAAATCGAGCAACAAGAAACCGCCAACTCAGTTTATACAGTCTTTCCTTTTTATTGTTCTCTGCATTATCGCGCTCATTTAGGTGACTGGTGACTAATTAGGGAATTAATTCTTTTCTCTTTCAGATGGTGAAAGTCAAAACGTTCTTGCAACAAATTCTGATGCGGACGAATGGACTGTACGAGATGTTAAAGGTTTCCATTTTAATTTTACACATTAATTTTAATGCTTTATTTATTTAAATATACCCTATTATTCACTCGCCTGCCTTGTATAAAGTATTATGTTTATTGAAACTTTAATATATTTTTCTTATAGGTGACTGGTCAAAAACGGGAGCAGTTTTCTCTGCAGAGGACCTAGCACTTTTAGATACGACTGTACACCCGCACCAAGTTAACGTAATATTTTGTCACACCTTAATAATTTAAATTTTGCTTAATATTTTTTAAAGAGATCATCAAACTTTTTTAAAAATAAAATTGAGGAATTTTTATCAAACGCAATTTGACCCAAAGATTATCTTTTTATCCCAGAAACGTACAGTTCCCGTGGGCTAGGTGTTATATCCACGCAAACAAAGGGAGCAAATATAAATTTTCGATTGACTTTTTCCAGCTCACACCAGAAAGTGACATTACACCGATGGGCCGACATGAAGACTTGATGAATCAAAATCTTTCACAACCCCTATTATCTAATAATTTTAGGCCTAGCTTAAGTCCTACATTAGGTAGCCCCAACTTCGTGTGCCCAAATGGCAATATTGGCTCTCCATTCGGTAGCCAAACCCTGACGTTAAGCGGACCCACTTTGAGTTCAGGGAGTCTGGCTACATCTACCTTACATAGAAAAGGAAAGAGTAATGTTAGAAGAAGAGAACATGTTTTAGCGGAAAATTTGCCAGGGCCTGAAAGTTGTGTATAAAATTGTCTTGAGAAGTTTTAGGTTTTCCATAAATTCGGCTACATTCTAAGCCTCCGGGCGGTTTTAAAAATAGTAGCTCAAATGAATGTTTGGTAATTTTTACATTTAAGTTTTCAACTAACTAAATCAATATTTTCTTAAAATGATTAATAATCAAAATTAAATAGTAAGAAATTTTCGATTTATAAAATTATATAACTTGAAACTAACTTTGACTTCTTTTAGTGTAACGCTTTTATGTTCCTATTAAAAAAGACGTAAAATCTAAAGGAATGTCTGCCAAAGTTTGCATAAACATCTAGACAATACAAATTTTCCTAGCAAAAATAGTTTTAAGAGTCTTCTGTAAATACAATTTCTGTGCTCAATTTTCTTTATAATTGGATTAAATATAGATTTAGAATGAAGCATTTCCACATGTTTTTAATTTTTTGCGTAAATGTATCAAAGACCTATAAAGACTGTACAATTTGTAAATATCATAACAACTACTCATAATAGTTATATATTGCTTGTAGATTCTTAAACATAGATAAATAAATGGGTTGTGTGTCTGTAAATATAAAACATAAGTGTAATATTTAAAGTGAGCTTTTGTTGTATGTAAATAATGCCATTAATAAAATCGTTTAGATTTGTGTTAATTCTATATAAAGTTTAATTGTCTTCAGTAATGTCAGAATGAAACATATTTGTAGTTGTCATTACTTAAAGCGGCCCTAACTAGCTGATTGTAATTTTATATTCGGTAAGAAAATAAACTTTTTACAAAAAGTTTGTATTGTTTTTAATTAACCATACCCAATAAAGCTAGAAATAAGAATTGTACCCTCTTTTCTCGAAGGATCCTAAGTCGAATTGGTTTGGAAATACTTCAGTGGGCAGCTGGCTCCACATAGTGGTGGTGCGCGGCGAAAAACTGCCTTAAGGCTCTATCCCAGCACGGATTGCTGTAGCAGTGTCTCGGGGTGGACTGCGGGGCGTAGTGGAGAGCTGGAGCACTGAGGCGCGCCAGCCCGTAATAACAATTAGTTATGTAAAACATTAATGTAATTTTATCAATATTTTTTACTGAAATGGATAACTTGGCTTGCGATAAAATATATCGCGTAAATTTCAAAATCATGTTCTATATACATTTTCGTAATAAAATGAATTCAAGGTGTCAAAAATTGGCTATGTTTGGATTTTTTTTCTATCGAGTTAGTTATTTAAATGGTGTATCAATCTTTCAAAATGGATACATAAACTACTCAACTCCACCATATATTTTTTCCATTCGGCCTACTTCAAGAAACGATGACGGAAAATGGAAAGAAACAATGTACTTTTTTGGAGTTTGGCGACCGGTTTCGTCCTTAATAACGCTCAGTTATGGAACGCCAAAAAAACGTCGTGGTGAAGGTATTCTGTCTCGACGTTCGATGATGATCAGTTTTATTCCGGAAAAGAGAACAGTCTCTATCGGGTAGCGTAGCAAAATTTTCATATGTTGGTAAGTAGCTACTAATCAAGTATGCTAGGGAAAAATCATATTAAGGCGTAACAAAGTTTGTGGCTAAAGAAAATAAAAAAAAAAAAAAAAAAAAAAAAAAAAAAAAAAAAAAAAAAAAAAAAAAAAAAAAAAAAAAAAAAAAAAAAAAAAAAAAAAAAAAACAAACATTTTTAAAATTTCAAAACCCAATTTTTGTTTTTTAAAAAAAAAAAAAAAAAAAAAAAAAAGGGGGGGGGGGACCCCCCCCCACAAAACAACCCCCCCCCTTTTTTTTTTGTGGGGGTTTTGGGGGCCCCCCCCAAACCCCCCCCCCCCCCCCCAAAAAAAAAAAAAAAAACAAAAAAAAAAAAAACCCCTAAAACCCCCCCCGCGGCACCCACCCAACCCCCCCACCCCCGATTCACACACACAAAAGCCAGTGCTTTTCATCTTTCAGCGTTTTCTTTAATTTCAAGTTATTTAATACTGAGACAGGTGCATGTGTCATGGATTGCAACAAGAACATGACGATGGAGACATACAGACAATTTGTCTTCTTTTAAAATGTGAGTAACCTAAACTATTTACAAAACACATGCTTTAATAAATATGTGTTTTCAAAGAGTAAATACGATCTAAACTTCCCTGTTCGGGTTTGACACCAGGCGAAATAATGATTGTTTTTAGTATTCACCTGATGATGAATATTAAAAACATGATGATGATGATGATCAGTCTTCCTTGTCAACGAAAAAGATAATAATAACAAATATAACATTACCATTCAAACACAATGTCATATTTACACAATTCAATAAAAAACCCATCTCCACATAAACCAAATGATTTTCTATTAAAATCAGTGAGTAGAAAAATAAATCTTTCAACATTCAATCTCGGGGATAAAAAGGGAAAAAATACCAATTTATACGAATTGTAAGTTGGCGCTTCCCGAATGGCAAATATTGACAGACATCGGCGACCAACTTAAATTGTTTACGCTAGACGATACTCAAAGCTAATTATTTGCACAACGTTGAATTATTCAGAAAATCCTTGATTGCGATGTTTTCTCCGTTAATTGCTAATTCTAGTTTGTGGTCAGCAGGATCTGTTGTGAAGCCTTTTTTTACCTTAATAAAAATGATTGATTCTTATCAAATCAGCAAAATAAGCAATCTTAGTTCATAATTAAAAAATCTCGATATATTACCTACTGTTATTGAAAAGGGGTTATGTTTTTAAATTGTAATTATAATGAAAGATTTTATGATAAATATTTTATTAACTTCCACTTTTAAAGTCCACCCAAGTTCTACTTCGCTAATTCATCCTTGAAGCTCTTCAATGACCCACGACGTGATAAATTGTATCTTTAGTATATAAGTTCTCATGTAAGTGACTATTTTCTGTTATGAGAATAAATATCTTTAAACCTTACTTCAAGTAAAAATTAACGAATATGCCCATTGTTATAGTAAAATATTTGGAATTTAATAAACATTATGTAAAATAATATTTTAAAAACATCTTGTGGTGGTGATCAATTGAGACGCTGTTCCATGTTCAAGATTGTTTGCTTTAAGCTTGGAGAGCTTAAGTTCTAAGCTCGCTCCGGTCGAGTTTGGCTCAGACAAAGGCTGAAGCTTTGTGGCGCAGTCTGGCGATAAAGCCGAGTGCAGGTAAACTGGAACTCAGTATGTAAACATTACGGAAGTGGCAATTGACGGAATCATAATAGTGGTGGCCTAATTTCGAGTCATTATTTATTTTCATTTAAACGTTTGAAGATTTATATTTGTTGAAGACGAAAGTTGAAAATAGTATTATAAAACTAAAATAATACTATAATTTTTTGTTCGACATACAAATACTTAACTTACTTTGACTTACTAGTCTATATATAAGCAACTCAAAAATCGCACTTTCTTCGCCCAACGCTTTTTCTCCCTCCGAGGCCCTTCCATCTTTAACCACTTGCTTAAAAACAAAATTATTACTATCATTACAAAACTCACATTACATACATTTACTAACATCTTAAACAATATCTTGTTAACATAACCTATGCTGATACTGAAAATATTCTTATTATGCAAAAATAGTTTAAATATGTGTGTTATGTAGAAATCATTAAGTAAAATACTGTTTATGTGTCAAAAGGAAGAGACTGGCTGCCCACAACACAGGGAATCCAATAAGATAATTTATTACACACATATTATATAATTATAATATACTAGCTGACCGGGCAAACGTCGTTTTGCCATGTATACCTATAATTTATAATAAAAAATAGGGGTTGATCGTAGAGGGGTGAAAATTAGGGGTTGTATGTATTTTTTAATGCTGTATCATAGAAAAATAAAAACAAAAAAAATATATCTACAAATTAAAAAAAAATTTAGGGGTGGACTACCCTTAACATTTAGGGGGATGAAAAATAGATGTTGTCCGATTCTCAGACATACCCAATATGCACACAAAATTTCATGAGAATCGGTCAAGCCGTTTCGGAGGAGTTTAACTACAAACACCGCGACACGAGAATTTTATATATTAGATATATCCTGGCACTTTTTATTTGTTGTGGATAGTTCCTTGGCCTGATTCAAGCACTCCTCCTTTTGAGAGGATATCGTAAATATTAGGTGCCAGTTCTCCTAGGATGATTACCTACGCTATATATTCGCTACGCTACGATATTAATTCATATAGGAGACCAAGTACACGTCTTATGAACGTCAACAGAATAGATGTTAAATTGATTCTAAATTTAAATATACTACCAGTTCGCAAATCAAGGGCGTAGAGCGGGTAAGAAGAACTAGTAAGAAACTCACCGCCATTCTTTTTAATCGCCAAGCATTGAGCAAGCAAGCGAGTGCACTAAAAAGTTGGAAGGTTGAGAAACCATCAGGCCACCGCCGCTTTTTCTCTTAATTATAACGTGACGTAGTTTTATTGCTAAATAAATAGCTATGGTACATCTGATAGATTTGTTTTTCAATTCGGTAATTAAAGTATTTAAATTCAAGTAAAATTTTAATCGCTCAAAGAAAATTGAAGACTCGTTCAACAGTTACTTTGCATTATTCTTAGCCTGATAAATGAATTGATAACAGTAAACAGACTCCCTCGAACATTATCAAGCATTCTCGCTCAATATCTGTTTACCCCTCTCTGAATATTTAACAAGCCTTTCGAAGGCCATTTAATCTCAACGCCCGACGCATGAAAATCGCGTTACAACTGACGCTATTCGTTAATCTCAGGCATTACAGATTTTAGGTTAGTATGAGAAAAGGCACTTAGGATCACATAAAATATGTTTTAATACATCCTATACAACTATATGTTCTTCCTCCAGATCGCATATTAAAGATAGTCTTTGGAACAATTTTTGACAGTTAAGCAAAATCTCAAAGACATAATCTCAAAGTCGTAAAGGCAGACAGTAACAGTCAGTGTTGATCAACACGCAAAAATGTCTAACAAATCGACTTCTGTTCATTACTTGCTGCAT